TAAATCAGGTGAAACACTGAGAAATCAGAATTAGAAAAGAAGGAAGACATTTTGTTTACTGCATCAATAAAACAATACCTGTGTGGGTCTGTGTTGGGTCTATGACTTTAAGTATTGGGTAGAGTTATGAGGTTTAGTTCCCAGGTTTGTCTTTTGAAAGTATATTATAAGTCTCCTCAAAGTATCAGGACTGAATTTTCCAAGATGAAGTACCTGCTCTGTGAAAAACTTTTCCCAGTGGTAGCTGTATATTTATGTCCTGCATCGATTGCAGGTGTGAATTCATTTTAGTACACAGCAGGTATGCTGTTTTATCCAAGTAATTTCAAGGATGCCATTTTGTGCAGTAGATGAAATTCTGGAATGTTTAGATGTTTATTGTGAGAAAGAACACTGTGAGCTATGTTGCTATACCTTATTAAATAGGATCACCAAAGATCAACATACTTGCATCCAGAAAACTAACTCCCCCAAAAGACATTTATAGCTCTTTTTTTGGCCTGCAAAGACCACTCACAAAATCGTCTTAATCAGTCTAAAGACAATGTTCACCAAATAAGGTTATTCTTCTACGGAAATAAATCACACCTGAATATTTCTGTGACAAACTAATCAAACTACAACAATAGAAGCCACTGGCCATACATTTCTGCATAGATCATATATTCTGATAGGCAAATTTCAGTGTATATTTGGTTTAAAAATCCACTAGACTTGAGCTTGCCTATACTGCAAGTCTGTATAAATCAAATCATTCAATATGTACAACCTATTCTGAAAGACAACTCACCCAGAGCCCTTTCTGCCCATCACCCTCACTACTCTCCTGCGCTTCAAGTACCCCTCCACAGCTCAGCAAACTTCTCATCAAAAGCAATCTTTTCATAAACCAGCATGCATCATACCAATGAAAAAATGTCAGCACAACTCCACAGGCACTGCAATAGGGGTTTCACCAGATCCAGGCTGAGTCCCTCTCATCCTTTTACATACTATTCCCCTTTCAAACAAAGCCCACCCATATTTAACCTTTTCCCAAAGACCCCACATTTGCTGACTCTTACTTTGTATACATATGGTCATTCTCAAAATTCCTGCCTTTGTCAGCAGTCCCATCAAACCAGCCTCTTCCTTGTGTTCTCTATAATTCTTACACTAGTGTCTTGTGCACAGCACCCCATGAAAAAAAAGGAGCAAGAGACTGTTGTGTAGCCCTGCCTGAAGGCTGAGCAGATCAGTGAGGTTAAGGTCAGATGAACTGAGCTTTATATGATTTTGCTATAATGCCTAAACAGTCGCTGAAAACAGATGTTCTGCGTGATCTAACATCATTTTGATCCAGTGTTTCAGTGATCTTTTACCATGTATGATTTACCTTTACCCTGACACAACAGCTGATGCACTCCTTTAGTATGAACTCTTCTCAGTACAACCAGTTTAACTAGAATGCTGTTGAGCATTTTGCCTCATAATGCATATCCTCAATTTTGATTTATTCTCTGAGCTAATGGGACTCTCTGTTCATCTGAGCAGAAATTCGTCAGTTGAAGAATATGCCAGCTCGCTAACCAAGTGGTTCTTCGGTGGGGAAGGGCCACATCCTATCTACAGCAAACCACAGGTGGGGCAGATCCTACGTTACAGAGACACAGAATCAAAATGGTTTTGGCTGGAAGGCACCTTAAAGCTCATCTAGTTCCAACCCCCTGCCATGGTCAGGGACACCTTCCACTAGACAAGGTTGCTCCAAGCTCCATCCAACTTGTCCTTGAACATTGCCAGCAGCTTCTGTGGGCAACCCGTGCCATTGTCTCACCACCCTCACAGTGAAGAATTTTTCTTAATGTATAATCTAAATTGTCCCTCTGTCAGCTTAAAGCCATTGAAATGCTTTAGAACAAGGGAGAGATAAGGAGATGACTTGTCAGTGCTAAAAGTCCTTATTATTCAAATACAGGTCAAGAAAAAGAAAAAGTGCAAAGAACAAGTTTTTTATTGATATTCACATTAAGACCTTCTTATATAGCTTTTCCTACTAGAATGCATCAAATCTTTGTGTTTCAAGTAAGATTCAAAAAGGTAGAACAGAGGCCTGAAAAGGTACCATTTGCATAGGTATCAGAGCTCTCACAGTGCAAAGATGCAAAACAGATTTGCAGGAGCAAAGGATAAAGCAGTTTTCTTTATATCAGTACCTTAGTGCCTAACATCTTCCTGTCACACAGGATGGAGGTAAAAATAATCCTATTTTCATTACTCTAAATGTGATAACCCACTCCCTGAATATTCACTTTTTCAAATACTCACTTTTGCAGACTAATCACACCCTGCTGCCCCTCCCAAACAGAGTGGCCGTATTTCCCATGTTCAGGAGGAGGTAGTATACTTTCTAATTTAGTAGTAAATACAATGAAAAGAGGAGGAACAGGAGTCAAACCTTGGAAAAGGGAAGGATTTTCCTTCACCTATGGGTCAATGCAACTATTACTTATTTCTGAAGCTCATGTTGGGGGAAATTTCCAGAAGCACAATGTGGTGAAGTCCAATTTGGATGTTGCTGCAATTTATAGTTAAGAGGCCAGTAGTAACGTGAGCTTTCTGGACAGCTAGTGACATTTTATTGTTTCAGCAGCACAGTTTGTCTCCCTACAGGCATAAAAATAATATAGTGAGTGTACTGCAATTGTTGTGCTCTTATAAAGCTCCTGTAGAAGGTGTGATTGAGATATCTCTGTATTAAGAGTAGTAACCAGCCTTAGAGATAGAGCTGGAAACTGTTTTCTCAAAGTGATGAACTCTTCACTACCTTTTTCCTGACATAAAAAGGCAAAATGATGTATTTTGGGAAAGTGTTGACTCAAAGTTTGTTTGTAAGTGGATAAATACAATAACTGCCACAAAACTAGCAAGTTGTAATATTTTCTGTGCTGCAATCTTTTCCTTCTGCAGCTCTCTTCTACTAGATTGGAAATTCAAGAGTCACAGCTTCAGTTTGCACTCCAGTTGTGAAGAGCAGAACATTTATAATACTAATTTATTTTTCTCATTCCAGTGTTCTTAGGAGTTTAAATCAAGAGGGTTCTTTGACATTTGCTTGCACATGTCTATCAGAAGGCATAAATAAATTCGATGTGATTGAGACTTTCATCATTTCTGACTATTCTGATTTTGCAATAAAAACAATTCAATACATAACTTGCCTGAAATACCAAGGGAGAGCATTCAGTTTTTCAACCAGTTCAGTTTAGGTAAATGAAAATGTTGATCTCTGGGAAGCATGTTGCCAAGTACCATTTTGTTAACGCTTAATAGAGGTTTGACCAGTGCTGAAAATGAGATCAAGAAGAATCTACCTATCTAATTATCACAATAAATTAATCACAGGAAGATTAATCATATTATTTCTACTGGAAGGCAATTCCAGAATCTCTCCACTCTAGTGGCTGGGAATATGTAACTATTTTATCTTCAGACTATGTAGACGGTTTATACCTATCTTGCTCTTGTACCAGTATTGCCTCTTAGCTGAGATAACCATTTCTCCTTCAGTCACGATATGTCACCCTCCTGATATGTCTAGACAAAGTAACAAATTCTGTATGGATTTGTCTAATTCTCAGACTTTGCTTTGAGGTTAAAGAAGCCACATTCTTTGAGTCTTGTTTGTCTGAGATGGTCTTTACATTTGGTCTGATATCCATATTGGTTTGAAATCCATCATTCACTAAAATGAGAGTTTACCAGGTCAGGCTTCCCATCACCTTATATTAATTATACATTCCTTTCCTTCTTTTTATTAAAAATTGGTCTCAGGATAAATGTGACGTTAAAGCCTGAAATGAATTTTATGTGATTCTTTACTCAGTCACATGTTCAGTGGTAGAAAAGTAAATTGTTCTTTTTCTAAAACTGGCAAATCACAAACTTCCTGTAGGAAAGAGGAAACTTCTGCATAGTAACCAGCAGGCTTCCTAACTTCAGTCTGTCAATAAATCTATCTTTATCAAAGCTCTTTCAGCACAAATTCATCCCTGTATCCATTTGTATTCAGTTCTTTATACTGGAATGTAGAAAGAATGAAACAAATCCTTCAGGACCAATGCCTTACTGGCAGATATGCAAATTTGGGGTGGTGGTGATGGTGTTGTTTAAAACTTTGACCTTTTGGTGGAGAGCAGTATTTCTAGGGGATAAAGAAACCTTATCAAGTTGTTGTATACTGGATTACATTTGGGTTTATTTTGTGAAAGAAATTACTCCACATTCCACATGGAGAGATTGAGGCTTGGTCTTTTTTGGCCATCACGTTTGCATGGTTCAAAGGATTTAGTTTTGTATGTTTATTTCCTGATTACAAGTGTGATTTCAGTATTTCATCAGACTTCAATTTCTATGTAATTTTTCATGTTCTAAGTTACAAAAATTCATCAGAATTTGAGTAATACAAAATGGAGATGGAGAACAATATCTGTGTGAACTCTGAATCTGTATTCCTAATATACCTTATATATACCTAATATACCCAATATAGGTTTTAGCGGTTGGATTTTAAAATGAAAATTATTTCTTAGATGAGAACTAATAGAAAAAAAAATACTGTTTATTTCTTCCCACTCTTGATGTGGAAGTTATGGCCCAATGGTGGTACTTTATGATATATTGTAAACAGTTTTTGAAATTTCATCTGAAACACACAATCTGTTTTTCTCTTTTGACTCTTATCTGTTAAAAAGGTCAACCAAATAATTTAATCTACAAGCTGAGGAAATAAATGGAACCATTAGAGGCTGCAAAATTTGTATGAGACCAATTTATCTGTATGTCTCCTATGTGTTTGATGCAATGGCCTTTCTACACAAGTAGTTTTAAAAAGACATTCTCCAAAATGAAAATTGGATCTTACAGTATCATTTTCATTTGCACATCTACTGCCACATTCTCTTACTCACATGATACTGGCAGATTGTTCTGCTGTACAATACTTGGATTTTTTATTTCAGGCTTGAAGTACAAATATCACATTCATGCAACTAAACAATGAAGATGCAGGTAGTTTATAGCTGGTCAGATGAACATGGAAGGTGTGTGTAATTCATAAAACTTCAGTAAATCCAAATGTCAACATAGGATCTGAGACCTTCCCAGTTCTGTAGCCCTGTTCCAATTCTGAACATAGCCAAAAAAGATTAAATAAAGGTGAGACATGATAGATCCAGTAACAATGGATATGTTACAGAAAGTTTGTAAAAGAAAGATGGATCTATTGGATACTTTCATGTCCTGTTTTTGGCTGGGATAAAGTTACATTTATCCCTAGTAGCTGGTGCAGTGCTCTGTTTTGGCTTTAGTCTTGAGAGCAACCAGTGTTTTAGTTGTTGCTAAGTAATGCTTATCCCAATCAAGGACTTTTCAGTCTCTCATGCTTTGCAAATGAGGAGGGGCACAAGAAGCCAGGAAGAAGCAGAGACAGGACACCTGACCCAAACTAGCCAAAGGGATATTCTATACCACAACACATCATGCCCAGTATATGAACTGGAGTAGTTGGCTGGGAGGGGCTGATTGCTGCTTGGGGACAGGCTGGGCAGTGGTCAGTGAGTGGTGAGGAACTGTGTTATGCATCACTTGTGTTTGTTAGTTTGAGATTTTTTTGTTTGGTTGGTTTTAGTTTTTTCTCTTTTAGTTATCTCCCTTTATTATTATTATTAGTAGTAGTATGTTGTACTTTAATTATTAAACTATTCCTATCTCAATCCATGAGTTTTACTTTTTTCTGATTATCCTTCCATCCCACTAGGGGTAGGGTGAATGACTGAGCTAGCTGATGCTTGGTACTTAGTTGCCAGCTGGGGTTAAACCACAACAATGTCAAAGAAACAAACCAGCAATTACACTGTGACAAGATAAAAACTTTTAGAAAATCAGTGAGACATTCCAAGTGGATCAATAACAAATGAGGCAGAAAGTGTCATCTGCCAGAAGAAAAACAAGTACTTCAAAGGACAAGGGTCTCACAAAGTGCTGATTAAATGTTATATGCTGCGTGAGGATGCACAAATTTGAAATACTTCAATGAAGAAGATGAACGCATCCACCACATCAGGAAAACAGATTATTCTTGCAGAGGTACATTATCATTAAAGTTGTTAGCATTTGCATAATGGAAATTTTAAAATAAAAAAGTAGGTGAGGGATACTGTGAGAGGGATGATGCACATTCCAAGTGTTCTAAAAGACTAAAAGCTCTGAATTACTTGCATTCACCAAAGCCAGTCTCTTTGCTAATCCCACTTACTAACAAGTCACAGCAAAACTAGCTCTATCTGTGAAGTAGCATGGAAGTGGCTAAATAAAAGGTTCAGCCATGAACCACATCCATGACAAACTGAAGGTCAAATTTGAAGGGAAATTTATTGAATATCCAGGATGAATTTGCCATAAGTTATCTACTGCTAAAAAGAAAGAGTTGAAAGCAACCAAACCACAAGCAATAAATATCCACACAGTTTCAAGAGGAGATGATTTGCAGATGTGAGGTGACATTAAAGTAAAAAGTATAGATAAGTTCTGGTATTCTCAGTTTTGAATCAGTGATCAATAATAAATTTTCATGCCAAAGGATTAATTAAATTCATCAGCTATGAGTGAAAAGATAATAAAATTGTTTTGTCAAGACTTAGTTTCTATAGTCACTTGTGGATAAATTCATCTGTGAAAACATATGACATTTGTTCAGAAGTTAATGTCCATCAGTGTGGTTTGTTTGAATACGAAACGAGATGGGACACAAACTGCAGTTTATTCACTGATTGAAGAGACTGATAGAAACCTATGCTTCCAGAAGCATGACTTTTCTTAATTCACTCCTGTGTGCACATGGCCCTATCTTAGGACAATATCAACAGACCTGAGGAGTCATTAAGCTCAGGAGGAACATTTCACTGCATAAATGAAACTCAGTGGTCAGATTGCGTACATTGGACTTCAGCCTGAAACATCATTAGTTATTATTATTAAGATTAAACAGAAAGCAATAAGCATCATGGTGTTGTCTTTGCCAAACCAGTCTCCAGTGTCACAGAAAGGCTGTAATGCTTGCAACATAGATCTATCACAGATTCATGGAATCATAGAATATGTCTGGTTGGAAGGGACCTGTAAAGATCATCAACTTCCTGTTCCTCACAGGACTACCTAAAGATAAACCATATGACCAAGAGCATTGTCCAGATGCTCCTTAAGCTCCGACAGGCTTGGTGCCATGACCACTTCCCTGGGGACCCTATTCCAGTGACTGACCATTCTCTCAGTGAAAAACCTTTTCCTAATTTCTAATCTGAACTTCCCCTAGCACAGCTTCATTCCATTTCCTCTTGTCTCTGGCCACCACAGAGCCACAGATCAGCACATACCCCCCTTCACTGCCCCCTTTAAGGAAGTTGTAGGATGCAATGAGGTCACCCCTCAGCCTTTTGCTTCTCCAAACTTTACTAGCAAAATAACCTCAGCTGCTCCTCATGTCTTGCACTTGAGAGCTTTCACCATCTTCATCACCCTCCTCTGGACACAGTCTAATAACTTGGTGTCCTTCTTGTATTGGGGCACCCAAAACTTCACACAGTACTTGAAGTGGGGCCACACCAGTGCAGTGTACAGTGGGAAGGAAGATGACACTGTAAATATAGTTCATGGATCAAAGAAGAAAAATCTCTTATAGGGCCTTCCTGCTTCCATAAAAAAATACTCCAGACTCAATTACATTTTACATGCTGATCTGTTGTGTTGTCGTGATCATGCAAGATAGAATAGGATATCCACTCAATCTCAGTACCCCAGCACCAAAGATACCTTTTGTCTATCTTCACTATGAACCAAAGCCTTGCTGAAGCTACCCAGTGCAATTTGTATGTTTGACATAGGCAACAAGGAATATCATGAGAGCTCTAGGGTATGTATTTTCACATTATTCTCAGAATGAATATCTTACATATCTGCAATTTTATGTCTGAGACATCACTTTTTGAAAATTATGCTAAGAATCTAGTTTAAATATCTATTGAAGGGTAGTGGGTAGAGGTATCCATGTTATAGTTAAACTTCCTAAAGTCAATCTAGAGTTGAGGCACGTCTAGATTACTATGGAAATAATTTCTTCCTTGGTTGCAAGATGATTACATTGTTGATGTATCTCACTTGGAAGAGATATTTGAACTCATCAACAGTAATGACATCTCCAAATACATGTCAATGTTGTCATTTAAAGTTGGTGTTTTTTTCACGAATTATGTGCACTGCTGTGATTTTTTTTATCACAAACTACTGACAAGAGAAAACTTTCTGGTTTCCTTACATTACTATCAGACTGGGATTAGAATAGACTTCAGAGAACAAGACTGACTGAATACCCCATTGCATCCCAAAATTACCTTGGCTTTTGTATACGATAAAGTAAACTAAGCATGGTACTGCTCATCAAGTGATAATCTAATAATTCTTTATACCTGCTCTTCCATTTCCTAAATACAGGTGTGTTTTATCATGGCTGGGACATTCACACTCTTTATAAGAATCTTAGTGTTTCTACTGGAGGGCAGGTAATTCAGGAGATGGTAAATACTGATACTCAGATTCTAGGAGGCATAAGGACATTCATTTTACAACTGTGGATGGCTACAGGGTGCCATGTTACAACATGGTATGTCAGATATGATTCTGCTGTATAAATCAAGACGGAAAAATGATAGAAAATTTGTTGTTTGGCTTTTAATTCAGATCTGCAGATGCTTAGTGTTTAAAAAGCCCAACATAGGTTGAAGCCTTGCTGCAAATGCTTTAGGATAATTGGATGATGCTCTGATGTACTCAATACAGAGCTATGAGGACTGTATATTTCTGTATGCACTTTTTGCAGACTATTGAGCTGAAATATTTAAATGTACCCTTCTGTAGACTTTTACCTCACAACAATTCCTGATTTAGGAATAATGGTCATGAGCATTAAAGTTCAAACATGAAGGAAAAATGGCTACTTGCATCTCCTATGTAGAGAAGGCAAAACTGTAAAGGACAGCTGCAAGGTTTTCCTAACTTTTTCGACTGTGTTTTGTTTTTAACATTTATGCCCAGTACATATTCCTGATTATATATCCATTGACTTTTGTCCTTCAATAACATATCTCCAATTAAAAAAATTTTGCCAAGACTTTTGCTATATGATATCACAGTAGTAAGGCTGAGAAAATAAGATATCCATTTATTTTTGTTTGCTTGCAACAGTTTTTAGCTTCTAATATAGTAATAAAAAAACAATCATCAATGACAATGGTGGATTATAAAAGTTGCTAACACCAGGAAGCCTAAAGTAAGACAGAAAGACAATGCATCACTGCTAGATTTTTAGGTGGGACATGGATATTAGGGATTAAACTACTTACATTAAACAAAACCATACAGGCCGTGAGCAGATTCAGTCAGGGAAAAAAATTGACACAGAGAGCAGCTGCAACAGAAGTAATAAAGGAAAAGCTGAGCAACGGAAAGTTCCAACTTGGAAAGACTCTTTCTTTTAATTAATAAGAGAATCAAATATCAATCTCTTTCCACTGCAATTCTATGGAGTATCAACTTTAGAAGAGTTGTTTGAACTCTTGGAGGAAAGGCTGCAAGTAACCAATAAAAAATACTATTCTTTCCAATTGTTTTTTGTTTTCTTTGGGGTTTTTTTTTGTTGTTTGCTTGTTTGTTTACTATTATGTGAAATGGAAATACCAGTCTCTTCATTGTAAGATTGGACAATTAGGTAATTCCAACCAGAATTTATTGACAGTGCTACAGATGATCTGAACAGAGATTCCAAGAGCAGAATCCCAGCTAACAAAGGGAATATTACTACCTGTAATGACTGCCACCATAAAAATTCAGACTAAAAGTACAGAGGTTGAAAAAGAACAAAGGCACTTACATATTTTCCCTAATTTTATATACAGAATCACAGAATGGTTGAGTTTGGAAGGGACAGGGACCTCCGGAGATCACCACTTCCAACCCCCCTGTTCAAGCAGGTGCATGTAAAGCCAGTTGCCCAGGACCCTTTTTTAGTATCCGGTTGCCCAGGACCCAGGTTTTTAGTATCTTCAAGGCTGCAGATTCCATAACCTCTGGGAAACCTGTGCCAGGACTTAATCTCCCTCACAGTAAAAAAGTGTTTCCTGATGTTCAGAGGGATTCTCCTGTGTTTCAGCCCCTGGTCCTGGTACTGAATGACACTGAAAAGAGCATGGCTCTGTCATCTATGCATGCTCTCTTCAGGTATTTCTATATATTGATAAGATGATTTTGAGCCTTCCCTTTTCCAAGCTAAACAGTCCCAGCTCTCTCAGGCTTTCCCCATTAATCATTTTACTGGTCCTTTAATGGCTTAATCCAGTCAGACTGTATATTTGTTGTACTGGGGAGCCCAGACCTGGACACCCAGACCCCAGGTGTGGCCTCATCAGTATTGAGTAAAGGGAAAGTATTATTTTATTAATGTAATAAAATAATTTCACATGTAACTTCACAATTAAAAAAAAAAATCCACCTAAGACACAGAATGGGTATAATTATGTATATACATGAATATGCATTTTATTCTGACTTCTTCTTCTACCATTTCAGCAGTGCCCAGTCATAGGGCAACTTATGTTTGATTACATCACTAGCATTCTCTTATTATACCTATAGCAGTATATTTGGTTGAATTACTGAGATGCAACCTTATAGCACTATCAACTTCCACCTGGAAGATGCATTAATAAGGAAAAGACCCATGGATTTCATTGTTTCTTTTCCTTGTGCAAGGGTAAAACTGAGACTAGAAACGCTCATTTGTTAATAACCTAGGGAAGGGAGGTTGCTGTTATTAACTCTCCTGTTATTATTAGGAAAGTGATTAAACAGAACCTTAGATACAGTAGTCATTCCTGGCTTATTCTTTTTACATCTTCCCAAATCCTGTTGATGATCATGATGTTACTTAAACACTTTTGTATTCTTATTTTAATTTCAAAGCTTAATTTTTTAAGAGACTTCCATCAATAATAACATACGTTTGTTGGATATCAAAGCTCTGTTGCTCTTTTTAATAAAATAGTTCCATCAGTATGTCTTTTCAATAACAGAACCCTGTTTTAATTTTAATACAGTTTTACCTTCTTGCTAAATTGTGTATTTTGTATAAAATGCAAACTTTTGATCTGAGTACACTTGACAAATCAATAGCAGGACAAGTCATTCCTCCAAAGTATTCCCTTTGCTAAGCCTGGATGACAATGCCATACAAATCCACATCTTTCCCAGCCCTCAGATTCCATGGCTTCAATAATGCCATCCAATGAGCAAAAGAGATATTTGAAATTGTTCATGCACCAGGAGAAAGTAGATAGCTTGATAAATAAACTAAGTTCGGGGTGGTTGTTTTCATTGATATGCAAAGTTCACAGATGTTCATTTCATGCAAAAAATGGCATCATGATGCAAGCGCAATGTATGCTATATTATGTGGCTACAGGTAGAAATGCAGGTGAGTGATATCACATTAAAACATAAATATTGAACAAAAGTTATCTATGAGTTCTTTAGAAGGCTGGTGTTATGTGTGTATTGGGGATTTTTTCAAGAAATATGAGTTAGAAGAAAACATTTGTTGGTGCTCTCAATCTGCTGCCGTTATTGTCTCAGCAAAACTCTCCCTGGCTGACTCACAAGCGCAGTAAAGTAGTGCATTTGGAAATGAGACCTACAGATACATACTACTGAAAATACTTTGTGGACTGAATTTTAAAGAAAAACAAAGGATCTGGTTTTATCAGAGCAGATTAGGGGAAGAACTTTAAATTTTCTCTTCCAAAGCCTCCAGAATGGGTCCCTCAGAACTCAAGTGATCCCACAAGAGGGCAGAATTATTGAGACAGAAATTGTTGAATGAGGCTAACATAGAGCTTCAGGTGGATATTAAGGTACTCTGGGATATGTTCATTTAGAGAAAGCATTTTTTTTACAGAATTTGATTGTTGGCTACAGTAGATACATATATTTTTCCAAAGCCAGAACATCTAGAGATCAAAGCAAAGTATGCAAAGAATATACAAGAAAATCAGCTTCATTAGCTAACAAAGTCTTAAAATACCTCTTAGTATCTCATGTTTGCAAACAAATGCCAATGGCAGGGATCACTTTTCACTGCAAAGTAAAAAGAAAGGTAGGTTAAAGATGCATACACTTATTATGAGGTACCTATGTTTACCTCAACTTGCTTCAATAACCATGTATTCACTACCCAGATGCGGCTGTTGCAATGTAATTATGACAGTTTACAGAACCAACATATTAATTTTGCTGATAATATAATACCTGCATTGCTGACTATCTAAATTGTATATTCTTACCTTTAATCAGTAAGATACGGTATCATTGCTGTAAAGAAACACAAGCATCACTTGCTTTTGAAATGAGATCTTATACCACATAGTTCATCTAATCTGCAGCTAAGGCTCCAACACTCAGATGTTGAGTTGTCTAAGGTAGGAGTGAGTCTGCCTGAATCTTGGGTTCCATTGTATTTTTGTTTCCTATCAGATACCTAGAAGTGGATCCCTGTTCCTGTTGCGTATGATCTGGATCGCTTCTCTTAATAAACCAGTTCTTTCAGGATACTGTCTAGAGAACCTAGTAGGTTTTGAAGAAACTTTCAAATGTTTCTCTAACCAACCCATAAGCTTATGAGGTCTTTACTGAATCCGTGTATTTAAACCTAAGACCTATCAGTGGCATTTCTACTCTGGCTTCCTTGCAGCTTTCTTTTTATCTTTATCATATCATATTCATGGGGTTTTTGAAAATGAAATCTCAAGAGATCTTGATAATAATTTTATATTGGCTGGGGCTGTTTAACAGTACAGGAGAAACTATTTGTCATATAACCATGAATAAAAGATTTCTATTAGGAATCACTAATATTTTTGTCTTTTTAACTAACTCAGGCATTAGCTGCAAGATCTACCTGTGATATGAGAATGTCAGAGAATTAGCCTGGAGATCAGACTGTGTTAGTGTGTTCATACTGTATCTGATCAATTCTTGTTTAAGAAGAAATAAAACATCACATGTGACAATATGACTGCTTCAGCAGACACTCTGAAACTACGTGAACTCTGACGAGAGCTGGAAACTGTCAAAGTATTGTTTGTGTTTACTCTTTACCAGAAATGACATAAAATACAGTTTCACCTTCAGGACCAGTTATCTAGCTGGCAGCTCAAAAAGCCTCTTTTGAAAATTGGTGTATTTATTAAGATTAGACCCTTCTGAATTCTTCGTTCTGCTGTATCAGCAAAGATGTACATGGTCCATATCAGAGATCACTGCTTTCTGAGATGAAGTAAGGAGGGCTTTAACATCCTGCTGCTGCTTTTTCATTAAAGCACAAACCATTATAGCTCTTGGACTTCTTTCTGGTGTTATTTATCTTGTGGGGTTGTCTTGCATTCACCTAGCTGATAGTTTCAGAACTCTGTCTGTCAGAGTGAATGGTAGTAACATTTTCTATAATTGGCTTTTCTTGGAAAAGAGGGGCCCGTTTCTTAGTGATTAATAAATGATGTTAATTATCTGATTCCTCCCATAATACATAGCACCCCTTTTTTAAGAGAAGCAGAAAATAATAATTAAGGAAAAATAATTAGAAAATAAATTATTTCTGAGCACTACTGTTACCATGAAAAATTTTCTCACCCTCAGTGTCCTATTGGACATACCTAATCTAATCTAATCATCAGCTGTCACTAATTGAATACCTGTGAGTTTAAACTGTAACAGAGCTAATGACACGTGCCTGTATCTTTTCTTTTTGACTTCAGAAAGAAATGGCTTGTAAGTGATTGCTCTAGGTGAATAGGCATTTGAACATACTTTGCTTGCCACATATACATAAGTATATATGCACACACACATTAACACAGTGAAAACAATGGTATCGGTGCATCCTGCAATACTTTCTATTCTGTAGACATATATTCATGTCTTTTGCATAACTCATTGTGGTGGATTGAGAATGGCAGAACACCAGATGCCAACCAAAGCCACTTTATCTCTCCCCTCCTCAGTTGAAGAGGGGAGGGAAAATATAGATAAAAGCTCATGGGTCTTGATGAGAGCAGGGAGAGATCACTTAGCAATTACCATCATGGGAAAAATAGCTTCAACTTAGGGAAAAAAAAAAATAATTATTACCAGTCAAATTAGAGCAGGATAACAAGAGATAAAACTGAATCTTAAAACACCTTCCCACCACCCTCCCTGCTTCCTGTGCTCAACTTTACTCCCAGATTCTCTTTTTCCACAGCAGTTCAGGGGGGATGGGGAATGGGGGTTGCAATCAGTTCATCACGCACTGTTTCTGCCTCTCCTTCCTCCTCAGGGGGAGGACTCCTCACACTCTTTTTTGCAAAGACCTCCATGTCATGACCTGAAGAGCAGAGCACCATCTCTGATTGGTTTTGATTCAAATATACCATCAGCACTGGAATTACCTCCACAGGTCTCAATGGACTGTAGAAGTCTGCAAGGTTTCTTTGTTTTGGAGTCATCCACATGGAATAATTGTGTAGATTGTTATTAAATAAATTACACTGATTCCAAATATCTTCCACAGCAATTGAGCAGGGAGTCAAATTTAGGCAGAGCTTAAGTAGTAAACCCATCCTCCACATCTTACCATCTCAGCTGCCACATAGCCTGGAGGTATGAAGAGGCTTCTCTGATTTTTACTTTCCCTGGGTACCTGTTGCAACACTTTTACCCTTGCTCACTACTGCAGCTCAGAAGTGAATTCCTCTAGGGGGTAGTCCTCTGGCTTACCAGAACAGCTGTGTGGATTTCACAGACATCCTCTGGAAAAAATCTGCTGCACAGGTGTAAAATCGCATAACACAGCAGTAGCTACCCCTTTACTTTAAAAGTCAAGAGCTCAGCCTTTGGTTTAGTACCTTAGTAACCACAGTGATAGAAGAAAGGGCAACAGAAAGGCAAAAAAGAAGTGGGAAAAC